AAAAGACATATCACTGGAGAGGAATTTGACCATAAATTCTTACTCACACATGCATATCTAATATCGTAAGCTTATACTCATATACCGCGCAAGTCGTGTGCTCCTCTGTGTCTTTTTAATTAGGTTTTTATATATGTGTGTATTTATTTGTTGCCATTTTTTGCTTGTTTTACAGCACTTTGGAATCTGCCTGTTGCTTAGGAAACCACATGTGTCTATTCTACTTTTTACTCTGCCCTATATGTATGGTTTATAACTCCGCACCATGCATATATATTTTTATTTTATTTTGAAAGACTGGTATTGAAGCACTTGCAGCATTTACAGCTAGCTAAGAAGCATGGCTACTACTTATTTTGTATATTTTGTGTGCTCTGACTACTGTCCTGTATGTGCGCTGCAACATTGAAATTTCCCCACTGTGGGACAAATAAAGGAACTATCTTTTCTGAGTCACTTTGTCCCAGACCCTCGCGCTGCTAACATGAACAGATGTAAAGATACACCTATTTATTATATGACTTGGACCGTGCGCGCGCTCTGATTGGCTGATTACCGGTCTGATATTTTCCCATCTCAGACCGTTACCATGACAATTGGTCCGAACAGCGCGTATCACATTTGATATCTTTCCTCGGACCGTTACCATGACAATCTGTCCACAGCGCGTATCACACAAAACCAAGTCGGACATGAACATACTTCACAAATATCTCAAAAGCATTGGACACAGACGAGAGTCATAATAAAACATTTATTAACCTCGCCACGGCTCGGTCTGTACAGAGAAATATCAGACCTTGGCCTTTTTGCACAAACCTTGCCACGGCTCGGTCTGTACATTAAGTCTGATATTTCTCCATACAGACCTTGCGCTCGGTTAATAAGCCGTTATTTCTTGTACTGGAATATGCAGTATCTTACGCTTGGTTATTTATGACGCCAAATATAGAGACTTTATATTTACTGCTTATTCCGCTAAAGTCAGATTTCGTACTATATTCTTGCTTCTTCATAGTGTTAAAGTTGGAGATTTTAAATTTGCTTCTTTCTTATGCTAAAGCTAGAGATTTTGGTTTTGATTGAGTTATTGTTCATTTTTCTTGTGTCGTGTGCTCCTCATTCATTACTGTTCTATAACCGCTGATGCAACACTGACATTTCCTCACTGTGGGACAATTAAAGGATGTCTTAATCTCTTAATCTTCTGTGGTCAGAGATGTGTTTGTAAAGCCTGGGTCTCCAACCTTTTTCACCCGGAGAGCTACTTTCTCAGGACCAAAACAGACGGTGAGCTACTCCTTAACCGTCTGGGAGGAAAACTGAGAGCTAGCCTTAGATAGGGTCACGCTATTCTCAAATATCATTCTATATCATTCATCACAACTTTTGTTTGCATTTACAATAGTTGTGTGCATATGAATCCTACATTTTGGAATATTAACCGCATATTTATGTTGTTTCTATATCCTTTGGGGAGCTCCTTGCACTGGGGTGGTGAGATACTGGTAGCTCCCGGTTGATAGGTTGGAGACCCCAGCTGTAGTCTGTATAATCAGTGTCTTAAGTTAAAAAAATACAAATAATTAATAGCATTTATGATCTTGATTTGAGTATAGATTGATTGGGTTAAATGTTTGCCTTTATTAACAATAGTTTTTATTTGGATGTATTTATACTGGTAAACCAAGATCAATAGTTCATAGTTATTTTAATACAAAAAATTAAAACACTTTTTTCATTCTTTGCATTATATTTTGGGAGTTGGCACAAGCCCTGGCTGTAGCGGCCCCTAGTGGGTGGAATTAGGCAACGTTACTTTTCCATACCTTTCTCATTACCACAGTTCTTAAAGCTGGGTTATCTAACTTTTAAAATCTATTTTGTTTATGGTCCAAAAAAGAACCTTTTTCTCAAGCTCTATTCTGTGAGGAAACCAGACCATGACATCCCTGTTTGAAAAGATTTTATTGTCTATATATGAAACCTGTGAGTCAGTATACGACTCTTTGGGCTGCTTCACTGTTTAATCTGCAAAAGCTGTTCTGAAACTGAGAAAGAGGCAAAAACTGTTATGAGACGTTTGGACGGCGTTGCATCTGGTCTCATGTTTTGCTGTATGTAAACCAGGTACCCCAGCTTTAAGGATCCCCCAACTTTAACACATGCATCTCACTTCTTTCACTTTGACTTTTACAGAAATGATTGTACAGAACGTTTTGTAATCACAGTTTGCCGGTGGTCGATAAGACTCAGTTTGCAGCCTGCAGCGGAAGATTAGCAGCGCTTCTAACAGGCTGAATTAAGTCTCAGTGTGGGCAACATGTGATTCATTCCAGCACAAGAACGATAGCTGCAAGAGACGTGGAGATCCCACAGCAAAGAGCAAACACTGTAGCTATTTGTATTTTAGTTTTGTTATTTCAGTCTTCCCCCATGTGATATCGTTAATGGACATAGAATGCAAAAAGCAGTAGTAGTTATTATTTTTTATTTCAAGCATAACATTTCATACAAAAACAATAAACAGCAGAAAAAGCCCTCTCATGCACACACACTCGCACTATTCTTGGGTTTCATATGACGTCAGGGCAGTGGCGTGAATAATAAACGTGGGACCGGACGTGACGTATCCTGGCGGTGCAGTCTGCCGGGTTTATACACGGAGATATAGTAGAAGAAGAACCGCTGTCGTTATGCCATTATTTTTGTGCGGTGTACGCTTGTAGCAACCGCACAAATAGAGAGAAAGACAAGAGTTTGTTCATGTTCCAACTGTGGTCTCATATAAAGGAGGACACTTTGAAAAAATCACTGGAATGAGGCGGGCGAGGTGGATCAAGGCTTTCCCAGATAAGCGCCCCATGCAGGCCACCCCAATGAAACGCAGCAATTTCTTCTGTTTTTCTTTCCAAAAATGCCCGAAATCAAGACTCTTTTGAGAAACAGTTTTTAGTACTCCCTTAGAATTGAGTTTCCCCGATTTAGACCGTTACAACAACAAAACAGACACGATTTACATGGTTTTCAATGGGAGCAAAACTGAGCTGTCCCACCTCTGCTCATTCGCCCCCTACAGGCCAGTTTAATAAAATAACACTCTCTGACCATACACCTCTCTCCCAACTCTCACTTCCCTCCACATTTTTTCCAGTACTTGTTTGAGACAGACTTGTGAACTTAACCATATTTGAACATATTTCTGATGCTAATTCATTCCAAATAGTGACTCTACAGACTGAGATTCACATTGTTTAGATATTAAACTAGATTAAGGCCCTTTTTTGTTTGTTCCCTCTTAGTCTTTGAAAAAAACAGCAACAAAACCAACTCAAATGGAGCTAATATATGATTACCCAAGTCATTTTGATCTCTCCTATATGACTTTTTATGGTCTAAATTGTCCCTTTTGTTCAGAATTTCGTAATCTTAATGTTTGGGATAAGAGTCACCGTTTCACACGATGCCAAAAACATTATGTGGGATCCGGCGAAGAAAAGAGAAAGTGTGTCTTCAAAGTTACTCATTGATATGTTTCAACAGACTCCGTGGAAACAGGGTGAAATATTTGAACATAATCTTATCACATTCAGCTGACTCATAAATACCAAGGACTTTATAGTTTGACTGTTATGGGTTTGGTCCAATGAGCGGCGGCCGTAGTAGAACAGAGGAAACCGCCAAAGTGTGTGCGTTCCTGCAGCGCCATATACGGAAGGAGACTCATTCACAAATTTGCACCCTGTGAACCCGCCACTATGACACTCAAGAGCCCTGACAGATGCAGCGCGAGGCCACAACTCTTTGATTACTATTTAAAGTCATGTGCCAACTGTAACCCAATTCTTGTAAAAAAAAAAAAAATGTAAAAAAAAACTGTAGTGCGCGCTGCTATTTTGGTCTCTTGATAGTGAAATAGAAAAAACGGTCACAGTATGAGCGCAGTAACATCCTGGCTTTGATTCCAGCTCCAGATCAAGGCTTTTGTTTCTGTGTGTGGAGTTTGCATGTTCTCCCTGTGTTTGCGTAAGTTTCCTCCGGCTGCTCCGGTTTTCCCTGCCACTAAAACATGTACTTAGGTCTGAATGGAAGGAGAGAGTGAATGGATTGTGATGGACGTAGGCTTCGATTTGTGTGTGTGTGTGTGTGTGTGTGTGTGTTTGGCGTCTTGTTTTATCACACCAACATTTTAAATCGCTTTGTCAGATTTTGGTCTGTGAAATGCTGCACCTCAAAATTCACTCAAATCTAACCAGCTAACTACATACTTAGTATATTTAACATTATTATTATATACTAATTATTTACAGTACTTGCGGGACCATTAACCACACCTGCATAATTTCTAATAAATAAATAAAAACTTATTTCCTCACAACATTTTACTTTTACAAGCTTCCTTCTATTGGGACAAACACACTGCACTATCCCAGACACAACCCCAGCTTTAATATTGAGAGAATTTGGAATATTTCAATCTCATTTTCTCGGATAAATGACATCGTAGCTGATTTCAACTCTCCCTTTCCATGTAAGGGACTTTCCATGTATACATTTAACCCTTTCATGCCTTGCAGAGCCTGTTTTATAAGGCTCTTCCAACCAGCATATTTGAGCCACACAACCGCAGTTTACATATGTAGTTTTAACATAATCCTGTTAGAGCGATGATTCCCTCCTTAACTGCTGCTGTTAAATCACCCTGGCCCGACTGTAACACTGTAACCCTGTCCTTTTACTATGAAAGGTCACTGAGTGTACAGTATATACGTATAAATAGCAGGGGGCGGAGGGTTAGGGGGGCGGCTGTTAAGCGTCAGCATGTCTTCATCAGCAAATCTTCAATTAGAAAATAGACCTCCAGCTATGTAATCTCTTTATATGGACGTGCGGCGTGTGGATGTACAGGATCTGTGATGCATGCATGGCTTCGTATCTATTTCTCAAATCGAATCTCCCACAGTCTCTTACTCTTTCTCTTTTTTTTTTTTTCTCCACAGATCTGGGGGAGTAGAAGCGACCGGCCCGTGTCCCGACATGCGGCAGGTGAGAGGGAAGCGGCTCGTTCCCATGCTCCCAGAGAGAGAAAATAGTCCCGCGTTGGAGGTGGGAGGTCCCGGCGTGGCAGGGACTTGGCAGAGGGGAACAGAGCACAGGCCGCTACACGCTGAGGCACCACCCACTGACGAGAGGCTCTTTCCAGGAATCTCACCACCGCAGCCATTCATGTCAGCGGAGGGACTGGCGCAATCATAAAACACGGGTTTTTTCAACTGTCATGTGCTCGGTTTGAAGTCAGCTCAACAGACGAGTGAGACTGAGACTGTGAGATTGCACCTCTGTGTTCTGACTATAACACTTTGCTCTTTTTACTGTCACAATTCTAGGAAGTGCTCAAACCTCCAGCCCAGAGGTGTCAACCATGAAGCCCTGAAATGATTATAAATGATTACTATTAACCCTTTAGGCACATTTATTTTTATTAACCCTCTAGGTGCCATGGTTAACTTAAGTCAACAATATGCTGTACTGTTTAAAATGACCAATTGTGTCAAGCAGGTAGGAGTGTGAACACATGTCGATATGTTGATGTATCGTGATTATCGATTATCCATATTCTTTTGCTAAGTATCGATTTATTTAAATAAATATAAGTATCAATATATGGCTACATTATGCATTTCTGTAGAATGTTATTTTAGATTTTATTGGATGTGAGACAGATGAAGTAAGATTTTTACTAAAATGCGCAGGTTATAATTGCTTTCATTGTAAACTTGTCAAGTCTTGTCGACAGACAAACGAGTGGAAACATCGCCTTAACAAATATATACATTTTTAAAAATCTAGCTTCTGACTAAAATGTGTTAAACATTTTTAAAGCAGGCTCCTTGGCTGTGTTGGTGTTTGTGACAGCTGCTTCTATTGTGCCTTCAAACTCTTAATATTCTTATTTTTTAAATTATATTTTAAAACTCCTTTGAGAAAAATAAATGGATATTTTTTGACAAACAAAAGCAGAGACTGAACGCACGGCTCCAGGTTATTACAATCTGATGCTGATCCAATAATGCTAAAACCTTTTATTTTTGACATTTTTCCTCAAATCCCTAAAAAAAACAAAGTGCACCAGCTAAAACATAAAACCACTCCTGTGTATAATTGACTTTTGTTGAACACGGCCGGTCTCTTTGTGGTCAGACAGTTAGTTTAAATCAAGTCATTTACAATAATCATGTTCTGTATTTTTGGAAAGCACAATGTTAAATGTTTTTTTCTTGTGTAATCTTCCTGTAGTCATTTGAAGGAGCTGCGTATGATAATATTGACATTTAAAAACAAGAGTTCTTTGGAGGTCTGCCTCATACTGAGACTGGGGCACACTTCATCAGAAAGTAACTTAAGTATCGACAAACTGCTGCGACCACTTTCATTCAGACCTTGTGCTTTGACTCACGATTACAGTCAAATCTCAAACTGTATTTTCAATTATTTACATCTTTGTCTGGTTGAAGCTCATTTGGATCGTCACCTGTTGTATTGGGTTCATGCACAAACCACGAAACGATACAAAACATATGTACAGTGTGTGTCATAACCATGTGATCAATAAAATTATAATATTTTTCTTATTTGGGACTTTTTTTGTGTCTAAGATCCATGTTTCCTGGTGTCGTTTACATGTCATTAAAGGTGATTAATAACATGTCTCTAAATGTAATTGTTTTTTCCTGAAAGCCTCAAAGTGTTGCATTAAACCTACTGTATCTATCTTTGTCAATAATATATCAAATGTTTGTTTACTTTTTAACAAAATTGTCATGTATAAGAAAATGCTGTGAACAACTCAGGCCAAAATATCTATTCCTTTTCTCTTTATAAAACATTACATTTTACACATTTATAAACAAAGTGCCTTGTAAGTCACTAATCGACAATTTAGGCTGAGAACTGAGTTTTTCTGTCTGAAGAATCTGACCTAATAATACATGGATTTGGACCATTTGGAGAGGACAGAAATATGTCAAATCAAGCAATCAAACTTTATAGAGTCTTTTACGACGCTCAAGGCGACCAAAGTGCCAGTCGTAAAAGTAAAAGCAAAAGACATTCGGAATAAATACGTTTTGAACCTTCATTTTTATATAGCTTCAAGTTTCAAAAGTGCTGCGCAGAGATGAAATCAAGACTTTAAAATGTGTTAATTGCAGTCTAAAAAAAGGCCCAAATCTGATATATGCTGCAATTTATTACACACATTGTTTTTTCTACTTCCTGTTTGAAGTGAGATACCCCAGCTTTAAACTCCTCCGACGAGCCATAAAACTACAGATAGGAAAAGTCCACCCACTGTATTTACTCCTGTGTACGTTTACGGCACACGGAAACACCTTCTGCGCCCAGAAAGCCAGACGTAGGAGATGGAGCCGCTCAGAAAAGTTGCCCGTTGCGCTTTTGATCTTTTTCAGAAGCTGACAACGTTCCACACACAACAAAGTATAAAGACATTTGCATAAATCTTTTTGACTTTAGCACCTTCAGTCTGACTCATGGTTAGGGGAAACTCTCTCTGTCGATCTGGGGACTTCCCTCCTCTTCTCGACAATACTCTCTGTTCTGCTTGTTGCTGGGATTATTGACAGTCTCTGGTCCAAAGTGTCTGGTTGTGGAGTCCGAGCTCAGGTCTGCATCATGTGTTGTCTTTTGGGAGGCACAGTGGGAGACACGGATCCGCACTTCCACAGATGCCGGCGTTTAGACAAGGCCATGAGAAAGGTGAACGCACCCGGAAAGACACTTAAATCATCTCATCCCCAAAACGTTCTAAAGAGGACGCCGCTGACGTGTTTAAAGCCGGGGTACCTAACTTTTGTTTTTGCTTCAGGCATGAATAATACATGTCGTGTGTCCGAACAGAAGGAGACTGGATTGTAAAAGTTTCATTTCGTGACAAAAATTGACCACGACAAGCGTTTTCGTCTCATTTGAAAATATGTAATCTGTACCAGACTTGTAAGAAAGAGCCTTGTGAGTCACTTTTTGACGGTTTGGGCTGAGAGCTGATTGGCTGAGGGAGGGTGGTCCTCTCTTTTCCACTTATTTTGTCTGAAAAAGTGGATCTAAAGAAGTGACAGAGGCCAAAAACACATGCGAAATGTGGAAAAAACTAGAACTAATTGAAATAGAGAAATCAGGCTTATTACATCATTGCGTTTTGTGTGAAGGTTAAGGTCAAGTTTTCTTTTACAGCACATTTTAAAAACAGGCATGACTGTCAGAAAGTGCTTTGCAGATAAAAAAAATTGCACACAAAAAACTACATTTTTACTACTATTTTTTTTGGAGTGAGGAAATATATGATGCCTTTTAATTACAATTTTATTTATTTTTTTGTTTTTGAAGTTCTTCCAATAAGCAGGTGACACAATTTACCAACTACTTATCTTTTTGTATAGTTTAAAAATTAGGAACCCCAGCTTTAATATGCATACAGCCTGTTTTATAATGAAGGGATTTTCCTGATTCTATTTGGCGTGGTTAGTTATGATATTTGCTCAAAATCTTCAATTATGCATGTTACTACAAACAGACATGCTCCACTTGAAATATTCATGTTTCTATGTTTTTTAGCTGTTCTGACCCCAGTGAATAAGCCAGACATTGATAATAAATATGGAAAGCTGATTTAATTTCATCACATTAACAGATCAATCACACACACTCATTTGGAAATCACATCTGCCGTTTCTTATGATAATAATAATGTCATAAATATACTTAATCTTAAAAATAAAATTGAGCATCCATCTTTCACACCTGCCTTTGAGCCTGGCTTGTCTCTGGAATGTTTTACAATGTGGCATTAATCCAATGTAACAGCAGATTACGAAGTCTAGACATTACTCTTGTCATATCCTAAAGCCAAGAAGATGAGTAGATTAAAGCCTGGGTACCTAACTTTCAATGTAGTTAAATCCATCGGACTCGTTCCTCGCTCTCAAAAAAGTTTGGTTCCATGTATTTTTGGCTTCTGTCACAGCTTTAGATCAGATTTCAGAGACAGAAAAGTGAAAAAAAGAGGAGACCGCCCTCACTCAGCCAATCAGCTCTCAGCCCAAAGTGTCAAACAGTGACTCACAGGGCTCTATCTGTACCAGGATCCCCGAAAGATAACATATGTATTTTATATTTAATGTATTTTTTGATGTTTTGTTCCGGGCATGTCCTGGGAACGCCTCAGGATCCTCCCGGATGAGCTGGGGGACTGCTGCCTCCACGGCCCGGCAACAGATGAAGCGGAAGAAATTGGTTAGATGGATGTTTGTATCTGTATTGTTTTGTTTATGTTACCTGTCAATCTCTAGCACTTTGAGGTTTGGTGGAAATGTAAGGTGCATTTTAAATAAAATGATACATTATATATTTTTAATTTTATTTCAATATATATTTTTTTATATTCATTCATTCATTCTGGGTCAGGGGAGTGGGATTCAGAGATGTGGGGCGATGAGGGCGATGGGAGTATGTTGTGTTTGATGCCTCCTGCTGCTTCAATTTTCATCATGTTGAAACCTCAAGAGCAGCGGTTACACAAGTCAAGAAAGACTATTTTTTTCCTCAAAATGTGTCTCGCCGGTCTCTGTCTCGGTCGCGGCCTCTTTCTCGGTCGTGGTCTCTTTCTCGATCGCGGTCTCTTTCTCGGTCTCTGTCTTGCAGACTTTGTGATCATCTCATCATGTTGTAGTATCTTTAAGTTCTTCCTCCTCTGGAAGGTGTTTTTGGACTCTGGATAAAACAAATCATTTGTCCCTAGTCCTATTTTACCCGATTGTTGTGAGGAGCATGAAGAGAACATGCATACATTAGCTCCAAAACCGATTTAAGGAATCAATTCCTGAACTACTGTGCATGTTTCTCTAACTCATCTGCTAAAATGTGTCTAGATTTGTTCAGGTTGTAACTTTTCAACCACATATCTATGATTGAACATTTACAAACCCATTTTCTGACAAACTAAACCAGATCTCTTCTCTCCAGAGGATGGGCCTGTTTTGGATTCTTTGCAGCCGCTGGAGCTCCATGCAGCTCTGTTCTGAGTACTGTCCCCTCACAGCGGGGCCCGTGGGCCTGTGAGAAACAGGATCGGCCCGAACCCAGTCCCCAGTCCCCAGTCCCCAGTCCCCCCACTGTGTCCTGGTCCATGTTAGAGCCTGGACCTCTAAGACCTCGACTTTTGCTTAAAAGCCACAGCAGAA